CGGGGCAGCTCAGGGCCCCCGCGCACAGGGCACCCCCGCAGCCCCCGCTGCCCGAACCCTGCCCTTCATGCCCGATACAAACATACCAACTCCCTAACTCATACTTTATTCCTGGGAAATTTATGATTAAACCCTGTGTATCTGTACACGATTCAGATCCCTTTCATTTTCACGTTTAGAGCTTTATATTCTCCTGTGGTTTTCCCAGTTACAAATTCCCTCAAGAGACCATAAAGGCTGCTCTGAAGGGCTTAAAAACACTGAAATAATTATGTGGATAGGTTGATTCACATTTGCTTGTCCTTGGTTAAACGTTTCTTGGCAAAACAAGCAAATAAATAAATATGTAGCTATTTGCTTACCGTTGCTGGGAGCATACAGATATTTCAGGTTCTTGCTCAAGTAGTATCTGAGGATTTGATGCGAAGGTTTTTTAATGTGCTATCTACTTAGAACTAGAAGATCTAAAACTAGCACTTTAGTTCTTTTAAAAAGGTTAAAAAAGGTTTAAAAAGGTTAAAAAAAACATTAAACACATAAAACAATATCAAAAAAACAAGGGAATACACTGTACTCCATTCCTCTTCATTAGTAAAACAGTCATTTAAACCAGTCAAAATATGCAAAGACAAAAGGTCTCTGCTACTTCTTTACTAAGCAAGCCACAGCATCACAGGATGATACCGAGGTTGATATTTGAGGTTGCTGGGGACCTCAGGAGGTCTGTGGTGCAGGCTGTGCTCAGGGCAGGGCTGCATCAGTTACTCCAAGGGGGTCCTTAAAACCCCCAAGTCACCCTTCCTAAGCATTGCAGGAGCCTTCCAGCTATACATCAGGTAAGGAAACAGACTCTTCGGTGAAACAGAACACCATCAACCAGCAAAATTGGCTTATGTTACCATTGATGCCTGTATCAGAAAGCGTCATATTAATTAAAATTAACTAAAAGGTAATTGATTCTTGAAAGAACACTCACTCAATTTCGTTACATTGCCATTGCAGCAGTGTTTCGTGGAAGCAAGGCTCGAAACAACAGAGTAAGAACATACCTCAGGCGAAACGCAGAAATCCTGGCAACGTAAAATTGTGATCTCAGAGTAACGAGGTTTTCAAAAGGCAGAGAATAAACCTGGTTTAGGTAACAAGTTGAATAATAAAATATAAGGAAAAACGTATCCTGTGCACTTACTTTTGGCAACGCGTATTTCGGTAACTTCATCTGTACAAAGCCGTTTCGACGGTAAGACACATAATACTTGGTCCGATTTGCTGATGTTGTCTGTACAAAGGAAAAACAGAACGCTGTGACAATTTATGTTAAATCTAAAGAGCTTGTAATGGCAGAAATCTTTTTTTTTTTTTTTTTAGCCTACAATTTAAATACATAGCTATTACTTCTATTGCATAGCATTAATTTACAGTTTACTCTTAAGAGAATAAACGGAAAGTTGTGAGAAAACAGACTCCAAATAAATTCAAACTCCTTTGTTCTCCCCCACTTTAGGAAGCAAAAGGAATTTATTTTCCTCCTTTACCATTTCAGCAGTCTCAGGTGATACCTGAGACTTTAGTATTTCACCTCCCTCAGCCCCTCTTGCTATCCCTGTACACTGCGTTCCCAGTGGCCTCTCACATTTCTAACCCTTCACAAAAACCTGGCCAGAAGCGCTCCACAGGTAAGTAGGGGTAGGAAGGGTACACGCTGGCATCGAAAACCAAGTACTTCAAGAGCAAGCGGTATCCAACAGCACTATTCAAAGCCGAACATAAAAGTCATGCTGCGATTTATGTACAGCATTATGAGTCACTATTTGGCTAATATTTTGTACATAGAAGAAAACATTTCCCAGTGAAAGTCCTTGACAATAGAGCATGGAAGATGAAGATGCAATTTTAAAGCCATTCGTCAGTTTGGAAAGGAATTAAATGTCCCAAAGACACAATTTGACACTGAAATAGAGGGTTAAACACCTATTTCAACTGCTTTCCCGTGTGTAACTGAAGATAAGATCAGGTCTTATGTAAAACACCTGGGGTTCTCTGAAGATTTTCACACAAAGGCAGACAAACAGAAACATGCATTAAAGGAACACCAGTGTAGATACTATCCATTAGCACTTTTCTCCCCTACGTTACAGCAGATACACTGGTAATTTAAAGATTTTTATCTTAGTCACTGAAAAATCAGTGTAAATATTGTTCTAAAGTAGCAAAAGGAACATTCCAAATAAGGACTGACGAAAAAACTCAAGTGATGGCCTCTCTAGCTTTTTCCAGGCACAGATAAAATGCCAAAATCTGTGCTGGTATAAATCAGCTCCAACTAGGCCTCTTGAGTGCCATCCAATCAGATTAGCAATGGTTTTAGCCTTTAATAAATAATATTTCACGTCTTTTTCGAACATTTTTTCTGGGAGATCAGCTAGGTACCAGCTATTTAGCCATTTTCACTAGGTTGTTTAAAGGTGACTACTTTACAGGAACGGACTGGTCAAAAAAGAAAATAATAAAACGCACAAAATTTTTCTCTGGTCGTTACCATGACAAATCAGTTTGTGGAACAGAAGCACAAGCAGACTAATCTCCTTACTTTGACTTAGAAAATTCATTCAGAATCCCATCCCCGTCTCACTGTTTTTTTCCTGAACTGCCAAAGGTGGAATGATTCATCTATGGACAGCCCAGACTTTTTATTAATCAAAACTGCATGTATTGAATACTTACTCAGTTTCTTTTCTATCTTCTGAAAGCTTATTCTGCTGAATTGGAAAAATAAAATGACCCATCTAGCAATGACAACGCCATTGTGACAGGAAAAGATATTTTTATAGCAGTTTTTCACTTTCTTTGCAAATATGGATCCTGTCTAGTTCTAGCAGCCAGATGAAATTTTACTAAAACAAAAGGAGCTCTTTGATACAGTAAGAGAAATCAGTTTTAAAGGTTACCATAAACCCTTCTATATCCAGTTTTCTCTACTTCAACTTCTTACATAAGTCATGTCAGAGCAAAGGAAGCAAGCAAACACAGCTAACTGATGGTGAAATGAAAGGTAGAAACTCAATGATGTCATTTATAAAAGAAAGCCTTAAAAAAATCATTCTCATTCAGGGAAGACACGTCACACAGATTCTCTGTGGTCTCCATAGTACTAAAAGCAAATATAAAATCAAAGTTTTGCAGTTAGTTAACTGCTAGGCAAAGCTACTAGATAAACGAAATTTTGTTTGCCACAATAAACAATATTTGGCTGTAGGCCACTGCACACTTAAAGAAGTACGTGCTTAAATAAGGAATCTGATTTGAAAAACAGTCTACCCTGAAGCTTGCAAACTTGACTTTGCTTGGCAAAAATAGAACTGATGCATGACAGCAGATCTACCTCCCTGCATATTTTACAGATATCAAAGTATTTAACGCTGTAATCATTTTCACTCTTCCTTTAAACCAATCTCCATTTGTGTGGTAGAGAAAATGTGATGCCCTTTAGGAATGTGATTTGTTAAATGATGGATTGAAGCAAAAAGCTCACTATTTATTTAATTAGGGTTAAATATCAGTCTTATCCATCTTACCATAGCCTTCATGTTCATTTTGCACTTATTTTATGTCACTCATTTGAAATAACTAAAGATGATGCAAGGCAGCAGAGAATCAAAGCTGAAGCAGCTAGCCGTGTCAAGCCCCATCGACATTAGAGGCTGGTCTGTGCTTAAAACAGTGTCAAAACTTTAGTCCTCCTCCTAACATTGCCTCTGAAAACGTCTAACTGCCAGTGCAAACCGAGAAAGAAAAATCAGTATTAGAAGGTTCCTGATCTTCACGGACATAGACATACTAAAGAAAGGGGGTTGAAATCTAAGATGGTAAAAGTTTGATTTTATTTCCTCGCCTCTTGTCTAGCTGTTAAGTACTATCTGTACCAAAAGAAGTGCCAGGAAGTATGGCAAGGTAAAGCAGCACTGCAAGTGGATACTCACCAAACCATTGAGGATAGCAGGCCTAAATCAGTGTCGCGCTACTGTCCTTTTGCACAATTGAAAATTGGTATAAAGAGAAACTAGGGCAGGTACAAGTCCACTCACATACACACAAACCTGCTTTTCAAAGAATCGGAGCCACCTCTGTGTCACCAGTGCTACCTCCTCGCTGCCATGTTCAGAGCTCTCCCACCTCTGTGCTCAGGGTACCCTAGAGCTCCTTCAGGGGAAGGAGGAGAGCAGAGGTTGGGCATGTGGAGGCTAAGGGAGAGTGGGGACGGGATTATGGCTATGGATCTGCAATGCTCCAATACACAGGTGCACAGTTTAGGGCATGTCAGCGATGCCAGGAATCTCAAACTCTCCTCTTTTTTGCACAGATGATTCTGTCCCATCTTCTTTCTAATATGTGTTACTATGATATTAGGAGCAGTGCCTGGTCTGATCCTAATTCACGTAGCTATGTTCTAGCCTAGCGCAAGCAGAATTTCCATGTGCTTTCAAAAATGTGCTGTTTCTCAGATGTGCAGCTGCTGTGTTGGTTCACTACAACAGGTAAATGGTGTCCCACATCACACCTCAGAGGTGGCTGCACTTCAGCGATGACTAGGGGATCCCAGGAATCTCTTCTATCCTCCAGTAATGCAGGCATGGCTAACTGCAAACCAATTTAGCAATAAATGAGATTTACATTAAACTACTGTGATTTACTGCAGCTATGTCTGAAAGAAAAAGACTAAAGATGTTTTCCCTTTATGCGGAATATGAGCACATCTCTTCTACTCCCATTAACATGTCTCAAATCTCCAGAGACAAGACTACATTACCAATAGCATGATTTTGCTAGCAGTGCTCATCCATCACTCTATGTGTGTGTTTCCAAGTTGCACTTCCATTTCGTATTTGCCCATGACTGGCATTAGATAGAATAACAACTCCTTCCTGATTGAAGATGAAGCAAGCTGTGTTTGGTTGAGCACAGCAGTCTGGAAGGTCACATGGTGAAAAGCACTTTCACCATCTACTTACCACAAAACGGATTTTAGAATGTGCCTGGTGGGAGCTACAGATAACATTACTTTTCAGCGAAATGGTTGCCAAGAGTGCTAGACTTGAGTTGAGAAATGCCTACTTTAAATCAAAAATACTTTTCCAAATCCATTTTGCTGTTTCTTTGTGGTCCTAAGTGTTCCAAGCCACGTGGACCTTTAAAACTACTGCACTCAACAAGAGGAGGACAGATCCTTTGTCTCTATATCAATTTATAGAACCTTTTGCAAGAAACAGGCACAAGGTGGGAAATCTAAAAAAAAATGCCAATCTAATGTCCACTAAGGCAGTCGTATGGAGAGCTGACCACTGTCACAATATTCCTTTCCTGCAAGAGTCAATAAGCAGACAAGCCTTGCAACAGGCAAGCCGTGTCAAAGTAAGGGAAAAATTATAGCCAATCACTGAGAAAAGGAACTTCCCTAGGAAAATCTTAAAAACAGACAGGATATATCTTTCTCTGAGAAGCCTGCAGCTCTGGCAGGTTCAAACTGCAGCTCTGTCAGATTCCAACCACATCTAGTCCCAAGTACATAAAAACAAATTTTAATTTGGGACTAAGCTGTACTTGGTGCCATAAGGCTGACAGAGTGCCAAGCCGTGTTTTTGCACTCAGGTCTTGTAGTTTGGAAATGAAATAGTCCCAATGTAATTTGGACCAGCTCAAGCCAGTCTAAGCTCCCCAGCTATGGTGATTCCCCCATTTTATTGACTGGGGACAGTTGTATAATTCTTTCCCAACAAAACCTCTTCACAGAGGTATCCATATGAAGAAGCTGAGCCACTACTCTGTAAGTGGGTTTCCTTGGATACTGTTCTCAGGAATCTTTTTGTGTATAGAGGTGCCGGAAAGGACCCAGAAGAGGATGTTATGCATAGAAACAAAAGGGCTGCATTCTGCCTACCATGCAAGAGCAGTTATAGAAAGTAATTTTGAGCCATATAATCCACTTGAAAATTTAGCCACTCTAGTTAAAAACTAGGTCAGAGATAAATTAAAATCAACAGGATAAATAAGCAACTGGTTGCACAGATTAAAGATGCATCTTTTTTTGACTAATAAAGAAATGCTTCGTTCCATGTAAAAATTCATGAACCTCCTAAATTACAGTGTTGCTGCATGGTTTAAATTTTTAATTCTGAAATTCAGTCTCTCCATAAAGCGACATATACCTGAAGAAATATGTAGTCATCCTGCACAGTCAGAGAATCCCGATCAGTGCCACCAGCAAACTGGACTGTCATTGTCTTATCAGAACAATTTTGAATCTGGCAAGTGATGTAGCGATAACCTGAGGGAAGAGACAGAAATGTATGATAGGGCTTTCAAGGGAAAAGGAGAAAACAGTTTAAAATGTTAAGCTGTAAAATTGTTTTATTAAATGCTCATACAAGCTTTTTTCAATCTGCTAAGTACTGATCGTATATTAACTGCTTACAGTTCAGATCATTCCTGGGAGGCAGCCACTTATCCAAATTTTGCTCATCCAAGAGACTGGGGATTAGGTGAATGAAACATTCAGGGTTAGGGACAATAAGAAGGAGCCTCCTCTCTTGCTTAACCTATGCACAGAGTCAAATTACTCATTTGGGCAAATGACAATCTGACACAACATAACTGAGATCAACAGAGCAGCTCCAGTATAAAACTGTGAAGAGTGAAAAAAGAATCAGATTCAATTTGATAAACAGTGCACAGAATTTTTAAGGCTATTTTCAAAGGTCTGTGGAAAAGTTACTATGCACTATTGGAACTTCTCTGTCGGGGGAGGACTCCTATGCTAAGTGTTAATAGCTTCCTGAAAAAACTTGGGCTGATTAATATCAGAGAAGGCTATAGCCTCTCCTCCTTTCCACCTACCTTCTCTGCACAGTCCGTTAGGGTAGGATTGCTGCATCTTTGGTGCAATCTGCTCTTACCAAAGAGAGGGAGCAGAATCAATCATCAGACCTTACACAAACTATGACACACGGACCTTCTCTGAGAATCAAGCCCTTCCTCCCAAGGGTTGGAGCACAGAGTGCCTGAGTGACTTTCCCAAGTGCAGTAGGAAAATTTGTATACATGTGATCCTGTACACAGATCAGTAATGTTCACCACCCTCCAGAAACAGTATGAAAGAGCAAATAATGCACCACCATGCATATCCTACATTACTTTTGCAGTACGATAGGAAATGAATTCCAAACGTTATGACTTTTTTATTAGAAAAGGTCAAACGAAAATGCTAGATCCAAATATTTGGTTTTAAGATCTGGACCTGTTTGAGAGGCAGCGAGAGTCAATTCAGGTTCTCCCACTTGCTTCCAAATCATCAGCACAAGGATATCTGAGCAAGCACAGCAATAGGCCATCAAAATGTCTTGCAGCTATTCATAATTCACGTGACAAGCACAGTTCTTTGTCAGACAGGTAGTATAAAAGACGCTGTTTCCACTAAAATCAATGGCAGTGCTTGTACTGACCTTAACCACACAAGGTCCGTGTGTTGAGGACCCAGCCAGGAAATAAATATTTCATGAAAGTTTTGTTGCTGTTTCTATTAAATAAAAATCTTCCCATCCAGCTCCTAAAGCTATCTCTAAATTCTTATACTGCCTCTAAATAGAGCACTTGTTGGGGCTATGGAGGGCTCACCAAGTACCAGAAATCTCACTCCTTAAAGATTTAAGAACTTTGTCATTCAGATTTTAACATGGTAACCTTGATGGTTTTTATAGGGCTGAAAGGAAGAAAAGCTACTGAACTGTGGAGTACCAAATTATGCATCCTTTACAACTGATATGTAAGACTGCATAGGAACTAAGTTCATCAAGGAATTCAATCATCTTTCATGCATGCAAGAGGTAACAAGAACTACACAAATACTGGAATCTTGGTGACTACTTACGATGCCATATCCTGACTGCTAGTCTGCTTTTTAGTTTGTTTTGCTTTTAAAGTCTCAAAGTATACTGAATGTTGCAACATGAGGAAATTATGGGAGAAGTTAGTTCGTTCAGTGGAACTGACCTAGGCCACGATTCACTTTAATAGACGTAACACTAATACTATATTGCCAGTTTTATTTGCAAATCAGGAAAAAATGTTCAATGTTTAACTGCCAGAACAAATTGCACTATTAATGGACTTTTTCAATGGAGCATAGCATCTTGATGTCAATTTGTCTCAGAATGGAACACAAGTAAATGTTAAATTATACTTTATTTTTACATAATAGGACAACTTTGCTGACTACAGATAATCAGAACAAGACTCTGATGTGCACAATTCTTCTTCTGACTGGTTTTAAAAAATAAATCCAAAAGTACTCTCTAAAACAAAGAAAAATGACTACACACTAGGGTATCAATTGATAACATTTTCATTTGCATACCTCCACTGGGGTCCTGGATTTCCATATGGACTAAATCAGGGTCTCCATCAACTCCAGCAACGGCCCTGAGAACATAACATAATCAAGTTACGCACAGCCAGCTACAGAAAAGTAGTTGTGTGGATGGAAAAAAGAGAGGATTTTATACTAACCAGCTTTAACATCCTAGCTGGGAAATTAAAATAAACCCCATTTATAATGTCATATTACACATCATTTAGATGGAAAAAATTATTTCTGTTCTTAGCATTATGTTTTTCTTCTTAAATATGTTTAGAATCTCTTCTACTGGGACAGGCATACAAACAGGATTCTAACATCAACTGGAGAAAACAGAAATAGGTATGAAACTGAAAAAACTTCATAACCATATGCTGATATAAATATACATACATATTAGCACACACTTACACGCATTGCTAAATGTTAGAGCATCTTCTTACAATTAGCTTTGACATTTCAGACTCTAGGGCAGATTTAGTGCTAAAAAAGACCTAGATTCCATCCTTACTAGATATTTCTTCAACTTGATACATGCCTTTCATAAGGAATTGATACATCTTTGGTAAGTATATTCAAGAGAACAGTAGATTCTGCTTTGACAAAGCAAGAAAACACAGAATAATTTTGAGAGTGAAAGCCAGAGATGGAAATTCAGTCAGAATTGATCAAGGTGCAGCTTAACTTTGAAAAGGTGCAATAGGAATGCAGACTGATTTTCTCTTAATATCTCCCATGTCAAATACGCTCAGGCAAAAGATGAGATTTTCACCCCTCAGGGCTTCCATCCCAGGCTCAGAACGGCAGACACAGCTATGTTTTATCCAGGCCCCTGCAGCATCATTAGTGAGGCACGCTCTCCACAGAAAGCTTTGAGCTGACAGTTACGCTGTCACAAAGTGAAACAGAAGCAGGCCACACTCCCGTAGTGACACTGCTCTTCACATGGCTCTTCCCTGCCGAACGCGGAAGAGCCCACAGAGGCAGCAGCTGTGAGCTGAAGACACATGAAGGAGATATATTGAGTGATAAAGTGCAGCTGGATGCAGTTATTAAGAAAATCTAATAAATACTTAGAGAAAATGATGGGTTTGATACAATTATTAATAATGAAATGTAATAAAGCTATACTTTAGATTGAAATGACATCATTGTTTAATGTTTTCAATGGGATTGATCCATGAGGAATGGTAAAACTGGGACTCAGTAACGGGCTCCTTGGGAATGCAAGCCAGTGGGAAGAGACTGGATCAGTTCAGCTGCTGCAGAACAAGCAGAAATAATCCCATACACTGTTTTTCCCTAATAAGATAAATGATCAGTTGAGGAGGTGGAGAAGGCAAGGAGAGGGTGACAACAGCAACCTGAAACCCAGTTCTGTGAAGGAGCTGCAACATTTGATATCAGTCTACAGCTCAGTGCAACCAGGGCTTAAATACAACTCCTGCTAAGGAAAACGTAGGATCACAACTGTATCACTGGCTGGCACCTAACATTAGCATGTGCCAAAACTGGCAATGACAAGTTGGGATGAAGTGGGAAGAGGAGGGAAGTGAAATCATAAAAGCTATTCTGTACCCCAAACCAGGGCTTGTGGCAAAATACAATTTAGTCCTTAAGGAGCAGAGAATACAAGAGAGAAGAATATGACATTTACAGCAATTATTTTTTTAAAAAGGAGGTAAAGCCAAGAGATGTGAAGGAAACTGCAAGTGGGTAATTTTTTTTCCTTATAAATAGAATGAAAAATTTAATACGAAATTAGTCTCTGAAACACAAACTGTTTTAGCATTTTGGGAAGCAACAAGAAGTCAGACAAGATGTTCTCCTTATTGAGGGTCTGATGAGAATACATTTGAACAGAGAGAAGGATCTGTGAGCTTTTTCACAGTGCAGACTGTATCTATTTTTCTAGATATTCATAACATGCCAAATCAAGCCTGCTATCAGCTCTGCAGTCAGCTTTCTGAAGGAAGAAAAGTGATGTTTGGTTGAATATTTTACTTTTTGTGCTGGACCTCATGCAGCTGAACCACAATCTAACAGAAACTTCAGGGCTGAAATTTTCTAAGGCTCAATCTGACATACTGATCAGCATCAATAACGCAAAGATGTTTTTTGGATACTTTCAAAATAACCTCTTGTATCTATAATTTATCACACAAGATTTTATAAGCACAGTTTGAGATATTTGCCAATACTTTTACCTTTTCATACGTCTTCCAGTAGCTTGGAAATGACAATGGTCTCATGTTTACTGTGTTCCTCCTAACAGTGGTAGCATCTAATTTCATTTACAGCGTAACCCTTTAATGCAAGAGGTAGTACCGCATGCTGAAATGAAAAGCTCCCATCCCAGGCCCCTTTTCCCCTTTATATTTGTATTAAGCAGATGCGAAGCAAAAGGACAGTTTCCTTAGGCTAGCATGGAAAAAGTAATGCTTTTTTTCCCCCCTGAAGTTCAGACATTTCCCCTATGCCCCATCTAAAACTATCCTTCATTTAACAGGGAACAGTTACTTCCAGAGGGCAAGTCCTCTCTTCCTAAACCTGCCGGATCACCTCCTAAGGTGCCCACGGCTTGTAAAGAAAGTTTAGGATGACAACCTCACACTGCAGTACGACAACCATTTCTTCTCGCTGCTGTGCCAGATTAAGCCACCCCACCCTGTGTCTCCACTCTTGCCTCTCCTTCACTGCCTCAGATCCCCTGGTAAACTTGCCAGGCCCCAGTGTTGGGAATTCATCTAATTTAAAGGCACCCCTACAAAGAAAGAAACCACAAGGCTGCCAGCAGAAACGCGCATTAAGCTGTACTTGCAGATACCTATCTTTACATATGTCTAACAGGTGAGATGAACTCTGTAAGTGCACAGTTTGCCTATTTTGAAATGCACAAGTTAAGTAAAAAGAATGAGGAAAAAATATTCATATTTCAGCAATGTGCTTTGTGTTTCATATTACGCTAATTCTACAGACAAGATACAACCACAGAGGCTCTCTGTTCAACCACTGAAGACACTAAACCCTCAAAATTGACTTCTGAATGTGAACTATAGAGCAGAGTTTCCCAAATTTGAAGTGCTCTTTCCCAGTCTTACAAAGACTTTGGAATAGTCCTTTTTTATTGAAAAAAGACCTCATCTATTATGGCTGCTAAGCAAATCTTCAGAAGAGAGTATAACTAATACAGAGCTATTTGCCTGAGTGTGCAGAGAATTTGAAGCAATATCCCCAAAGAATAAACTAATCCATTCATTTCAGAGGACTCTTATGGCAACAGTACTTTAAATAGCCATACTGTTACTTCATTTGTACTTAGAGCATGAATCAAAGGAAAAGTAGTAGCATGCTATGAAGGATTAACACAATCTAGGCCCCCCATCCCATGAGGCACAGCTTTCTTAAAATGATGGGCAAAAAAATGGACATGCAAAAACATACACAGAACATGAAACACTTAAATGGAAGGCTCAGAAATGTTTTTTTCATACTGAGGCACAAATCTAGGACTTTTTTTGTATTTGCATATACAAAATTATGACTAATACAAAAGAAATATATTGCACCAGTGTTACGATTCTATCTGCACATCCACTCACACACTCATCCCTGATTTCAGGAAAAAGAATAAACATGAAAATTACAGAGAACAGTCTCAAAAGTCCAGCTTACTGCTCCTGAGCTGGCTTTCGAATAGGACCTTTTCCAGCTAATAGAGCACAGACACAATGGACCCTGACAGTACAGGAGCTTCTTTCTTTTTAGTTGATATTCACCATCAACATACTTTTTTCAAATGGAAACTCAGGCTTTCAAAAGAATAAGTACTTGCTCAGGAGGTGATGATACTAAACTGGGAGGAGTGGCTGACACACCAGAAGGCTGTGCTGCCCTTCAGAGGGACCTGGACAGGCTGGAGAGCTGGGCGGAGAGGAACCTCCTGAAGGTCCACAAAGGCAAGTGCAAGGTCCTGCCCCTGGGGAGGAATAACCCCCATGCAGCAGGACAGGCTGGGGGCTGACCTGCTGGAAAGCAGCTCTGCCAAGAAGGACCTGGGAGTGCTGGTGGACAACAAGTTGAGCATGAGGCAGCAGTGTGTCCTTGTGGCCAAGAAGGCCAATGGGATCCTGGGGTGCATGAGGCAGAGTGTGGCCAGCAGGTGGAGGGAGGTGATCCTGCCCCTCTACTCCGCTCTGGGGAGGCCTCAGCTGGAGTACTGTGCCCAGTGCTGGGCCACCCAGTACAAGAGAGACGTGGCGCTACTGGAGAGAGTCCAGCGGAGGGCTACAAAGATGATGAGGGGACTGGAGCACCTCTCCTGTGAAGAAAGGCTGCGAGAGCTGGGCCTGTTCAGCCTGGAGAAGAGAAGACTGAGAGGCGATCTGATCAATGTGGTATTGTTTTGTTATAATTCCCTCCTTTTTCTTCTCTAGTAGTTTTCAACTGAAATTTTCAAATCTAAGTAGTTTGGGACCATTTTTGTTTGTCTTACTTGGGTGAAGGAGGGTTGACCACTGAATTAAAGGTTTTCTGATTTGGGTTGTTTCTACATTTTAAAATTAATATTTAAAATTTAAACTAAAAATTCAGCCTAACTTCAAACTTCAATTAGTTGGAAAACTAATCCAAAAGAACATAATTTGGGGACTTTTTGAAGGGATTAGTTTTCTATTTCTTATATCATCTAATCATGCGGATAGCTGAGCACCAGTCATGTTGAAGAAAAGCAGCAAGACAGTCCCTTTTGGTGGTGCACTGACCTTAAATCGGCTCAGCTACGTTGCACCCTTTGTGTGTGTTTCACCCTACTTATGTCTCTAAGATGCATCTAATAAAACATGATGCAAGGCGGTAGCAAATGAGGCCACCTTTGTTCCCACATATGCACAATGGAGGTCTGAATTTGGTCTCTTGAGGGACACTGGAGCTCTTTCATATGTGTATTTTTTAGACTTTTAGAGAAGTTCTCTTGAAAGATCATATGTCATATGACCTAATTCTTCATTGACTTTACCACAGTTACATTAGCATAAAAATAGTGCAATGGAGTGGACTAACGAGT